TCGAAAACCGCGCCCTACAGCCACGTGTCATGACCCTGTCACGGGTCACAACATGAGGCAGCTGTATTAAAGGGTCACCACAACATGAGGCAGCTGTATTAAAGGGTCACCACAACATGAGTAACTGTATTAAAGGGTCGCCACAACATGAGGCAGCTGTATTAAAGGGTCACCACAACATGAGTAACTGTATTAAAGGGTCACCACAACATGAGTAACTGTATTAAAGGGTCACCACAACATGAGGCAGCTGTATTAAAGGGTCACCACAACATGAGGCAGCTGTATTAAAGGGTCACCACAACATGAGTAACTGTATTAAAGGGTCACCACAACATGAGTAACTGTATTAAAGGGTCGCCACAACATGAGGCAGCTGTAATCAAGGGTCACCACAATATGAGTAACTGTATTAAAGGGTCGCCACAACATGAGGCAGCTGTATTAAAGGGTCACCACAACATGAGGCAGCTGTATTAAAGGGTGGCCACAACATGAGGCAGCTGTATTAAAGGGTCACCACAATATGAGGCAACTGTATTAAAGGGTCACCACAACATGAGGCAGCTGTATTAAAGGGTGGCCACAACATGAGGCAACTGTATTAAAGGGTCACCACAACATGAGTAACTGTATTAAAGGGTCGCCACAACATGAGGCAGCTGTATTAAAGCTTCGCCACAACACGAGGCAGCTGTATTAAAGGGTCACCACAACATGAGTAACTGTATTAAAGGGTCGCCACAACATGAGGCAGCTGTATTAAAGGGTCACCACAACATGAGGCAGCTGTATTAAAGGGTGGCCACAACATGAGGCAGCTGTATTAAAGGGTCACCACAACATAAGGCAGCTGTATTAAAGGGTCACCACAACATGAGGCAGCTGTATTAAAGGGTCACCACAACATAGGGCAGCTGTATTAAAGGGTCACCACAACATGAGGCAGCTGTATTAAAGGGTCACCACAACATGAGGCAGCTGTATTAAATGGTCACCACAACATGAGGCAGCTGAATTAAAGGGTCACCACAACATGAGGGAACTGTATTAAAGGGTCACCACAACATGAGGCAGCTGTATTAAAGGGTGGCCACAACATGAGGCAGCTGTATTAAAGGGTCACCACAACATAAGGCAGCTGTATTAAAGGGTCACCACAACATGAGGCAGCTGTATTAAAGGGTCACCACAACATAGGGCAGCTGTATTAAAGGGTCACCACAACATGAGGCAGCTGTATTAAAGGGTCACCACAACATGAGGCAGCTGTATTAAATGGTCACCACAACATGAGGCAGCTGAATTAAAGGGTCACCACAACATGAGGGAACTGTATTAAAGGGTCGCCACAACATGAGGGAACTGTATTAAAGGGTCACCACAACATGAGGGAACTGTATTAAAGGGTCGCCACAACATGAGGGAACTGTATTAAAGGGTCACCACAACATGAGGCAACTGTATTAAAGGGTCGCCACAACATGAGGCAACTGTATTAAAGGGTCACCACAACATGAGGCAACTGTATTAAAGGGTCGCCACAACATGAGGCAACTGTATTAAAGGGTGGCCACAACACGAGGCAACTGTATTAAAGGGTCGCCACAACATGAGGCAGCTGTATTAAAGGGTCACGGCATTAGAAAGGTTGAGAGCCACTGGTCTACAGACTTATTGCCACGGCAGTTTTAAATGGGGCCAGATTATCACCTTAAGCAAGTTTCCAGGCTGGTAAAAACCTGAGTGAATTTGCGGGATGGATTATTTTATTGCAGCTTTAAGCTTGCAGCGTTGGAGTGAACCGGTCGCAAGTTGGGTAACACCTCCCTTCCTTCCGTGTTGTCCCATCGGGCTGCTACTTACAGCCCTACCTAGCAGTTTATTTTTCCCTGTGATTGATGGGAGCCGCTGTGATGTGGTGTCTAGACGCTCGTCTGTGGATCTGAACGTTATGGGTTCAAGTCCTGACGGAGCCGACCTCTATTAGAAAAAATGCCCTGGCTCCCAGGTCAACACAACCTTAAATGGGAACCAGGTAAAGGCGGCCAACGCCGTGAGGCGGCCGGCGTGACTGTGACCACATCACCCACCGAGTGCTGGTTAGTCTGTAAAATATACGTCTAGCTCTGTATGTCCAACACGCATGAAGGCGTCGAAAAAGGGTCTTTTAAAAGGGTACCGTGGGTGATAACTTATCTTTGGCAAGTACAGATATGCTTTTCATCTAGCCTCAAAATGTGTTCGCTCCAGCGCTTGTTTCAAATCTCAACAAGCCATCTCTTATACATTTTATCGTTGTACTTATATCACTGAAGCAACTATGGGGTGACCCGTTTGCCATGAAGCTGAAACTAAGATTACTAGATTACCATCACTGAAGCGGTCGACCCAGGGCACACTGTGCTCCATTCGGCAGGGCACTTCTCTTTCGTATCCTTCCAAGCCATGGATGGTTGGGGAACCCTCTTGGCCTCGGGCACAGCGCCGGACAAGCCATTAAGTACACCAAGCCCCTGCTTGGGGCATTCAAAGGGAGGGGGAATCACAGACCTTTTTATTAGCCATGGAGCCCAGTGTTTATTTTCTCGGTTGAAGTGCAGTATATTAACAAACCCTATCAGAACAACAAAGCAACAAGGCAGGCTGGTTGCCTTATCTCTGTGAAGCCTAGAAGCCGATTATATTAGCTTGAGGATAGGATCAAAGACTTTGTAGTTTAAAAAAAAATAGGAGAGAATTTTTCAAATATAAATTATGCGGAAGTACACAAAAATAGACATATAAAATATTTCATCTTACTGTAAGTTTAGTTTAGTTTCGATAAATAAAATAGTATTTTATAGTTTATTATTGTGGCCACCGGACAGATTAAAAAGTAACCTGTCTGTGTGAAACGCTTAGTTTTGTCACAACCTGGCTACTGCTGCAAGGACATAGATTACCGCCGTTCGAAAGAGGTACATAATGATTTACAAATGTACCGTCTAAATAATTGCCGCCCTACGCAAAACCTGGGGAATGTTCGGTAGTCGGAATGTGTTTTTGTAGTGTGTGCCTGCATGTCTGGTCTGTGCCGGCCTGCCAACGGGCGAGAGAGTGTGTGAATGTAGGGCTGTCACTGCTGCAGTAGGGGACCCTCCGTGTAGGTAGGTGTCAGTTGATGGATGTCACCAGGCGTCTCTATCATTCAGCTCTAGTCGGTCGTCCTGCTGTTATTCCTTCACTGACCAAATTGTGGTGTATGCTTGGAATATGCCTTCTGTTGTTGTGTAGACTGAGGAAGCTGATTGTCAGCGGCGTCAAACTTCCAACATTTGTGATCGGTTTCTAGAAATGACGATATATGCTACCTGTGTAAGATGGGCTGTTGTGTTTCTGGAGGTAAGGGTTCCGTCACTTGTATCCCTGTTACTATCATTCTGTTATGAACGAGGAGCGGCTGGCTGGCCGAGCGATTGCAGCAGCAGAATTTCTCGCCGAAGACCCGGGTTCGATACCCGCTAAGGTGACGAACGGAACTTTTTTGGGGCGTCCTCGCTTTTTCAACCCCCCCCCCCCCTCCCCGTTGACCATTTTAGTGCTTGTTTATGGAAACTGCAGAGATGTTGTTTTATGGGTAAATAATGCAAATATCATGGACTGATAGTTAAGATGTCTTGGAAGAAATTGATTCACATACAGAACTTATCATCTGCACCTGGAAAGACTGGACTTTGTTTGGCCATGTCGTGATGAGGAAAACTGGACTGCACCGTGACATAACGCCCGGAGAGCTGGAGGGGAAGAGAGGAGAGGGAGACCGAGAGAGAAGATGACGAACTGTTTGCCCTGCCTTATGGCAGGGAGCATTTTTGTGTCAGAAATGCTTGTAAGTGCAGGAGACAGAAGGCTGGGGAAAGTTATGACCAGTAGCACCATACGGCAGGGACTATAAGAAGTCATCATTCTATACTCATCAACACTGGGAGATGGGTGGACACTGGGAGATGGGTGGACACTGGGAGATGGGTGGACACTGGGAGATGGATGGATGGACACTGGGAGATGGGTGGATGGACACTGGGAGATGGGTGGATGGACACTGGGAGATGGGTGGACACTGGGAGATGGGTGGACACTGGGAGATGGATGGACACTGGGAGATGGATGGACACTGGGAGATGGGTGGACACTGGGAGATGGGTGGATGGACACTGGGAGATGGGTGGATGGACACTGGGAGATGGGTGGATGGACACTGGGAGATGGGTGGATACTGGGAGAATGGGTGGACACTGGGAGATGGGTGGACACTGGGAGATGGGTGGACACTGGGAGATGGGTGGATGGACACTGGGAGATGGGTGGATGGACACTGGGAGATGGGTGGATGGACACTGGGAGATGGGTGGATACTGGGAGATGGATGGATGGACACTGGGAGATGGGTGGACGCTGGGAGATGATGGATACTGGGAGATGGATGGACGCTGGGAGATGGATGTACACTAGGAGATGATGGATGGACACTGGGAGATGATGGATGGACACTGGGAGATGATGGATGGACACTGGGAGATGATGGATGGACACTGGGAGATGGATGGACACTGGGAGATGATGGATGGACACTGGGAGATGATGGATGGACACTGGGAGATAATGGATGGACACTGGGAGATGATGGATGGACACTGGGAGATGGGTGGACACTGGGAGATGGGTGGACACTGGGAGATGGGTGGACACTGGGAGATGGGTGGACACTGGGAGATGGGTGGACACTGGGAGATGGGTGGACACTGGGAGATAGGTGGACACTGGGAGATGATGGATGGACACTGGGAGATGGATGGACACTGGGAGATGGGTGGACACTGGGAGATGGGTGGACACTGGGAGATGGGTGGACACTGGGAGATGGATGGACACTGGGAGATGGATGGACACTGGGAGATGGGTGGACACTGGGAGATGGGTGGACACTGGGAGATGGGTGGACACTGGGAGATGGATGGATGGACACTGGGAGATGGATGGATGGACACTGGGAGATGGATGGATGGACACTGGGAGATGGGTGGATGGACACTGGGAGATGGGTGGATGGACACTGGGAGATGGGTGGATGGACACTGGGAGATGGGTGGGTGGACACTGGGAGATGGGTGGACACTGGGAGATGGGTGGACACTGGGAGATGGATGGACACTGGGAGATGGATGGACACTGGGAGATGGGTGGATGGACACTGGGAGATGGGTGGATGGACACTGGGAGATGGGTGGATGGACACTGGGAGATGGGTGAATACTGGGAGAATGGGTGGACACTGGGAGTTGGGTGGACACTGGGAGATGGGTGGACACTGGGAGATGGGTGGACACTGGGAGATGGGTGGATGGACACTGGGAGATGGGTGGATGGACACTGGGAGATGGGTGGATGGACACTGGGAGATGGGTGGATACTGGGAGATGGATGGATGGACACTGGGAGATGGGTGGACACTGGGAGATGATGGATACTGGGAGATGGATGGACGCTGGGAGATGGATGTACACTGGGAGATGATGGATGGACACTGGGAGATGATGGATGGACACTGGGAGATGATGGATGGACACTGGGAGATGATGGATGGACACTGGGAGATGATGGATGGACACTGGGAGATGGGTGGACACTGGGAGATGATGGATGGACACTGGGAGATGATGGATGGACACTGGGAGATGATGGATGGACACTGGGAGATGATGGATGGACACTGGGAGATGGGTGGACACTGGGAGATGGGTGGACACTGATAGATGGGTGGACACTGGGAGATGGGTGGACACTGGGAGATGGGTGGACACTGGGAGATGGGTGGACACTGGGAGATGGGTGGACACTGGGAGATGATGGATGGACACTGGGAGATGGATGTACACTGGGAGATGGGTGGACACTGGGAGATGGGTGGACACTGGGAGATGGGTGGACACTGGGAGATGGATGTACACTGGGAGATGGATGGACACTGGGAGATGGGTGGACACTGGGAGATGGGTGGACACTGGGAGATGGGTGCACACTGGAAGATGGGTGGACGTTGGGAGATGGATGGACGTTGGGAGATGGATGGACCCTGGGAGATGGATGGACACTGGGAGATGGATGGACACTGGGAGATGGATGGACACTGGGAGATGGATGGACACTGGGAGATGGATGGACACTGGAAGATGGATGTACACTGGGAGATAGATGTATATGGGAGATGGATGAACACTGGGAGATGGATGGACACTGGGAGATGGATGGACCCTGGGAGATGGATGGACCCTGGGAGATGGATGGACCCTGGGAGATGGATGGACACTGGGAGATGGATGGACACTGGGAGATGGATGGACACTGGGAGATGGATGGACACTGGGAGATGGATGGACACTGGGAGATGGATGGACACTGGGAGATGGATGGACACTGGGAGATGGATGGACACTGGGAGATGGATGGACACTGGAGATGGATGGACACTGGGAGATGGATGGACACTGGGAGATGGATGGACACTGGGAGATGGGTGGACACTGGGAGATGGGTGGACACTGGGAGATGGGTGGACACTGGGAGATGGGTGGACACTAGGAGATGGGTGGACACTGGGAGATGGGTGCAACTGGGAGATGGGTGCACACTGGGAGATGGGTGCACACTGGGAGATGGGTGTACACTGGGAGATGGGTGGACACTGGGAGATGGGTGGACACTGGGAGATGGATGGACACTGGGAGATGGATGGACACTGGGAGATGGATGTACACTGGGAGATGGATGTACACTGGGAGATGGATGGAGACTGGGAAATGGATGGACACTGGGAAATGGATAGACACTGGGAGATGGATGGACGCTGGGAGATGGATGCACACTGGGAAATGGATGGATACTGGGAAATGGATGGACACTGGGAGATGGATGGACACTGGGAGATGGAGGATGGACACTGGGAGATGATGGATGGACACTGGGAGATGATGGATGGACACTGGGAGATGATGGATGGACACTGGGAGATGATGGATGGACACTGGGAGATGATGGATGGACACTGGGAGATGATGGATGGACACTGGGAGATGATGGATGGACACTGGGAGATGATGGATGGACACTGGGAGATGATGGATGGACACTGGGAGATGGGTGGACACTGGGAGATGGGTGGACACTGATAGATGGGTGGACACTGGGAGATGGGTGGACACTGGGAGATGGGTGGACACTGGGAGATGGGTGGACACTGGGAGATGGGTGGACACTGGGAGATGATGGATGGACACTGGGAGATGGATGTACACTGGGAGATGGGTGGACACTGGGAGATGGGTGGACACTGGGAGATGGGTGGACACTGGGAGATGGATGTACACTGGGAGATGGATGGACACTGGGAGATGGGTGGACACTGGGAGATGGGTGGACACTGGGAGATGGGTGCACACTGGAAGATGGGTGGACGTTGGGAGATGGATGGACGTTGGGAGATGGATGGACCCTGGGAGATGGATGGACACTGGGAGATGGATGGACACTGGGAGATGGATGGACACTGGGAGAGGATGGATGGACACTGGGAGATGGATGGACACTGGGAGATGGATGGACACTGGAGATAGATGTATATGGGAGATGGATGAACACTGGAGATGGATGGACACTGGGAGATGGATGGACCCTGGGAGATGGGATGGATGGACCCTGGGAGATGGATGGACCCTGGGAGATGGATGGACACTGGGAGATGGATGGACACTGGGAGATGGATGGACACTGGGAGATGGATGGACACTGGGAGATGGATGGACACTGGGAGATGGATGGACACTGGGAGATGGATGGACACTGGGAGATGGATGGACACTGGGAGATGGATGGACACTGGGAGATGGATGGACACTGGGAGATGGGTGGACACTGGGAGATGGGTGGACACTGGGAGATGGGTGGACACTGGGAGATGGGTGGACACTGGGAGATGGGTGGACACTAGGAGATGGGTGGACACTGGGAGATGGGTGCAACTGGGAGATGGGTGCACACTGGGAGATGGGTGCACACTGGGAGATGGGTGTACACTGGGAGATGGGTGGACACTGGGAGATGGGTGGACACTGGGAGATGGATGGACACTGGGAGATGGATGGACACTGGGAGATGGATGTACACTGGGAGATGGATGTACACTGGGAGATGGATGGAGACTGGGAAATGGATGGACACTGGGAAATGGATAGACACTGGGAGATGGATGGACGCTGGGAGATGGATGCACACTGGGAAATGGATGGATACTGGGAAATGGATGGATACTGGGAAATGGATGGACGCTGGGAGATGGGTGGACGCTGGGAGATGGGTGGACGCTGGGAGATGGGTGGACGCTGGGAGATGGATGGACGCTGGGAGATGGATGGACCCTGGGAGATGGATGGACCCTGGGAGATGGATGGACCCTGGGAGATGGATGGACCCTGGGAGATGGATGGACGCTGAGAGATGGATGGACGTTGGGAGATGGATGGACGCTGGGAGATGGATGGACACTGGGAGATGGATGGACACTGGGAGATGGATGGACACTGGGTGATGGGTGGACACTGGGTGATGGGTGGACACTGGGAGATGGGTGGACACTGGGAGATGGGTGGACACTGGGAGATGGGTGGACACTGGGAGATGGATGTAACAATGGAGTATGGATCTGGTACTTTGCTTTGTGCAGACTGTTGTGACACGTGAAAAGGTCAGCATTTAAAATAAAGTCTACTCGGATCTGAGTGATCATCCTATACTATACCCCAGTATGGCAGCCTAGTGACTAGACGCTTTCTTGCTGGGGGCAGATCTGGGATTTGAATCCACTTCAGAGGAGGATTATTATAATCTTCGACTCAGCCTATTGTGGTTACCATGAAATGTCATGGGAAATAAAGGCAGCTGATGTGAATGTTGACCTTGTTATCTATCCCAAGCACCATCTGTGTGATGTGCCTGTGAAATGAAAAATGGTCCTTTACATTTTTTTTATTTGGGTCCTTTACCTTGTTACTAACCCCAGCTGCAGTATCCATGTGCAGTTACTTGTTCAGTCACCTGTTCATTCAACACCTGAATCACACCTTTCACCACGCTCCATGGCTCTGATTACCAGTGATTCTTTATAAAGACCAGCCTCAGTGATGATGACTTTGAATCTAATGTCACATTTTGTAAGGGACTTGTCAGTAAAGCCACTGTCGTTGATTTGTTTGGCATTCAGTAAAGTATGTGATATCTGACTTGTTGACACGCTTCTACAACTTGTCTGTTGTCCGCACAGCTTCCAATATGTTAGTGGTTATCCAGGCGTTATGATGATTTCATTCATGATCCTGCCATGTCATTATGTGTCACTAGGTCTCGCAGGCTATTCCTGCATTCCATTCTATTTTGTGCAGTCAGTTCAAGATCCAGTCCTACAACTTTGGACTGTCTCATCAATGTTCACCTAGGGTTTCTTTTGGGCCTTCTTAATCCCTGCATTTCCCATTTTAATGCCTGTTTGGTGATTCTCTGCTGGTTTCTTCTCAGGATGTGTCCACTGTAGCGCCATCTTCTCTGTCTTATAACTGGGCCACAGTCCTGACATTTAAAAAAAAACCGATTCTAGTGATAATTCTTTTAAATGAAGTAGTGTGTATGTCATACATGCTCTCAGTGCACCACTCTGCTGGCTTGTTTACCTAAATGGCATCCTCTCCTGCAAGTTTCTGTAGCAAATTTAATACAGGATGGGGGAGCTGGCCTCAACCTTAACCTTCCTCCTTTCTCCTCCGGGCTTGGGACCGGCAATTACATAGGTAAAGTTTGTGTGTGTGGGACCATGTGAGAGCCTGGTGATGATGTTAGGTAAAAGGTGTGTGTGTATGTGTGTGGGACCATGTGAGAGCCTGGTGAGGATGTCAGGTAAAAGGTGTGTGTGTATGTGTGTGGGACCATGTGAGAGCCTGGTGATGATGTTAGGTAAAAGGTGTGTGTGTGTATGTGTGTGGGACCATGTGAGAGCCTGGTGATGATGTTAAGTAAAAGGTGTGTGTGTGGGACCATGTGAGAGCCTGGTGATGATGTTAGGTAAAAGGTGTGTGTGTGGGTGTGTGGGACCATGTGAGAGCCTGGTGATGATGTTAAGTAAAAGGTGTGTGTGTGGGTGTGTGGGACCATGTGAGAGCCTGGTGATGATGTTAGGTAAAAGGTGTGTGTGTGGGTGTGTGGGACCATGTGAAAGCCTGGTGATGATGTTAGGTAAAAGGTGTGTGTGCATGTGCACATGCACCCCTCCCCATTCATCCATCCATCATTCTGTCCATATAAATGCGTGATGATGTTAGTGTGCGTGATTGTGTGTGAGAGACCGAGTCCTTGATTAAGATGTTAGTGTGTGTGTGTGTGTGTGTGTGTGTGTGCGTGCACGCATGTATGTGTGTGCATGCGTGCTATGAACATACATTTGCCCTAGAAAAACAGCCCAGAAATGCTGGGGTTTGTTCTGCAGCGTCATGCAAAGGATACACAACCAACTTTTAATATAGGAACACTCACCAGTCAGTCCGTTCAACATCTTCAGAAATAGACTGACTACCAAGGGATTTGCCCCTAGTGTATCACACCTGTTTCTTAGTGCTAACAGTGAGAACAGTGCATGTCTTTAGCTCCACATAAGTTGGCATGACTTGGCTAGTGTTGATACTTGTATTTATCTGGAGTCCCAGCAGATACT